CGTGGCGCCGGCACGCGCCGTGGCCGAGTGCGCTTTGGTGCCGGCGCCGCTGCCCAGCCGCGCCGTCGACGATCTTCTCAGCGGGGACGCGCCCCCGATGCTCAMGCCCGGCAGCASTTGTGCCCCAGCAGAGCCGCCTGCGGATCTCGATGCCGTGCAGGTCTGTATGATCACCATCCTCTTTTCTTTCTTAACCATCGTTCGTTGATTTATATTTTTATTAATCCTTAGCAACCACTGTTGTTTCTTCACGATTATATGTGAATATTAAATACGAAAGTGGTGTTCCCATTGAGGTGAATGTAGGAATGAAYGAATCTCAACACTATTTATTTCGGAATCGATAGTGCATTCCGTAGTGCCCTTCGATGAARTCGAGAATACACCAGAAAGCTCATCTTGGATTCTTGTCGTTTAGAAATTAGTAACATAAACGCCTGTTGTCACAAAGAATCACCTGAGTATTTGAGCAATCAATCATTACCATGAGATATTGAATAACTGGAACTAGATGTGGTACTGCTTTTCCGTCCTCMAAGGTGCAGTGCACTGTACATCTGTAAGCATCTCAATCGTTTCTTAATTTCACAGTATTCCTTCTTAGCTTACCATTTGTCTGCTGCAATGGAAACAATGTATTGCCTATGAAAGGAAGAGGCAGTATTTTTCTCTTTTKATCTGAGAGCGGAGGATTCCAAGGTACGTTTCCAACCATCAGAAATGGGAAGTATGGACTCAGTTGAAACGTTCTGGACTTTGTATTTGCTCCATACGTTATCGTATATCTTAGTAACTGCAAACGTAGTTCCTCCTTGTATGTAATGAGATCTACTGATTCTGCCCTTGCAGACTGCGAAACTGTAGTGCACCTTCTGTGCTGATGATCTTCTTTCTTCTCTGCATAAAGAAGTACCTGMACCTSATGGATAGAATYGAATATGAAATAGATGTTTTGTATCGTTTCAGTTATGAGTATCCAAGAGAAACTTGAGTGTCTGTCGGTGGATAAAGCTGTGTCTGCGATCGTGATCGGTGTCTATTTCTTTATACAGAAACAAACCACTGTTGCCATCCGATCTTACACTTCTAGTGCAGAAAGACTGTAATTGGCGTGGGTAGGGAGACGTTATTTCTATGTGGACATCATTTCTCTGCGTCGTCTTTGTGTCTTTTATGGTGCAATTGAAAGGGCTCGTGATTCATTGCTGGAAGTGACAATAACAGCGCTGCATCAGGAAACGYGCGAATTGGTTTCTCTCAGCCCCATATCACATATTTCTGCAGCTTCCTGTAAAAGATGGAAGTTTGTGTCTGGATAAAGATGGAAGTGTGAAAGGAATGTTATAGAATATCGTAAAGSGAAAAYGTGACAGTGTAGASGGAGAYTAGCACTCACTCCGAAAACCCGAGAGTCTGATAAGAATGTGAAAAGGAAGGCATAACAATATGATGGTTRTTAATATTCCCCAGTTATATGCGTATCTCATTCTATTGTTCAAATGGAGTGTTTATTTACTTACTTTCTCCTCAGACTCTCTTGTTCATGCTGTGCTTACTTGTATTCGATAATGTGCCCTGCTCTTTTTGGTGGCTTTACCAAGGAGACTAAGTCATTTCCCTTCTCTCTGGGGACAGCAGCTGGTCAGAGCCGCTGGGTAGCAAATTCAGTAGAATTGCAGAAGGCGCTATAAGGGTCTAAAAAGTAAAGTAAAAATGATTTTATTTACTTATTACTATATAGTATTTATAATTATTATTATTACATTAGTTTAATGTAGTGTAATATAATAGACATCCACACAGGTTTTGCTTCCTAGACTAGYGTGATAAACGACTCACATATCTCTCCTGCAGTGCTGCAATAGCCTTTGTACTGACAGTGGATACTACTGTACCATTAGGTGAACATTCAGAAACACGAGTAATGTCAGAAACAGGAACGGTTTTTGTCATATCCTACTAAGAATTCTCGGAATTCTCCTGCACAGTCGAGCAGGAGGAATGACGGACAGACCTATGGTCAGCTGGACATATGGACAYATCGAGGCTTTGGTTGTGTAGTACGCAATTAGTCAAAAATTTGTGGCATGACAGAAAAAAAAACATGAAAAAACAACCCGCTTTCTCTTGGATGCTTCTTGCAAGCGAGAGAAAGTCTTTAATGAATAGAGTATTAATATTAAAAAATAAAAAGAGAGAGAGAGGGGGGGAAATGCACAGTGCTTGCGTTTCCTGAGCCAGTCTGATACACAGCTCCCACATCTCTCTTGCAATGTTGCAATGCTGCARTTTTCGGGCGAGACTGCGGGCGCCGCTGTTGACCAGGCGGGAGCGGAGCGCGGCGAGACGGAGCCGCCCCGCCCGCCGTGTCACGGCTCGCGGNCTGCGGGCGCCGCTGTTGACCAGGCGGGAGCGGAGCGCGGCGAGACGGAGCCGCCCCGCCCGCCGTGTCACGGCTCGCGGAGAGATCCGTSCYGAGCTTAAGGTGGCAGAAAACAGCCTCCCGGCARGAGTCGGCAGCGCTGAGTTCKCGGCCGAGCGCGGGCCGTGGGAGACGGGGGAGGTGGAGAAGCGGAGCGGGGCATCCTCCTCGACCAGACAATGAGCCGGTCGCCAGGACGAGCGCTGCTGTGCTGCGCCTTGGTGGCGGCGTGGGAGCTTGTGTACGGGCAGCTGCGCTACTCGGTGCCTGAGGAGATGCCGAAGGGCTCCTTCGTGGGCGACGTGGCCAAGGACCTGGGGCTGGAGCTCTCGGCGCTCCGCGACCGCGGCGCCCATGTCGTTTCCGAAGGTAGGAGACAGTATTTTTCTTTTAACGAGAAGACCGGTCATTTAGTGACGGCAGAACGCATAGACAGGGAGCAGATCTGTCGGGTAATTGAAAAATGCATACTGCGCTGTGAGGTGTTACTCGAAGACGAAATGAAGGTTTATGCAATCGAAGTGGTAGTGAGAGACATTAACGACAACTCGCCCGTTTTCAAGGAAGTACAGATAGAGGAAAAAATAAGCGAGACAACAGCCCTGGGGTCGCGTTTTCCCCTAGCTGAAGCTCATGATGCAGACAGTGGAAATAATTCCCTACAGCGCTACGAGTTGAGCGGCAACGAACACTTCTCCCTAGCCATCGAGACGACACTCGACGGGGAGAAACATCCCGAGCTGCTTTTGGCGAAGGCGCTGGACAGAGAGGAAGCCGCTTATCACGAACTGGTGCTGACGGCGGTGGACGGCGGCGATCCACCACGGACGGGAACAGTGCGGATCCGCGTGGTCGTGTTGGACGCGAACGACAACGCGCCCGTGTTCAGYCAGGAGGTGTACACGGTGCGTGTGAGGGAAGACGTTCCCGTGGGCTCCGTGCTGCTCACCCTCAGTGCCACCGATGCCGACGACGGCACGAACAAAGAGGTGAAATACTCATTGAAGAAAAGCACGGACATTGTATCTCAGATATTCCACCTGAACGCAGAAAGCGGAGGGATCACGCTGGTAAAGAGCCTGGACTTCGAGGAAGGTGACTCATACGATCTACAGGTGCAAGCGAAGGACGGTGGGGGTCTTTCAGACACGGCGAAAGTCTCGATAACAGTGA